TATATATATATATATATATATATATATATATAGAGAGAGAGAGAGAGAGAGAGAGTATATATATAGAGAGAGTGTTGAGCATTAGAAGAACTCGGGAGAGTTACATAAATTTAAATTAATCAAATTATATTTTATATAAAAGCTTTTGAACTTCATCAAAATGATCACAATTTGGCAATTGTAAGTACACGAAATTATATAAATTAGGACTAGTAATATTTTTGGAAGTAGAATTGGAATTTATATCTTGGCTGGTTCGAGACGCATCTTTCCAATGCTCCAAGGTGATTACTATGGACTATAGTATTGTGATATGTAGTGTGCTTAATTACAATTGCTAAATGTATCATAATTATGTTGAGGTGGACAATATGACAAATTAATTTAATATTGTTTATTAATAATCGTAGACACATAAATTTTACTGGATTAAATTTATACGAAATATGAATATAATTCACGTTCATTTAGATTAAATGATTAATTTGGTCTTTACAAATAAAGAAGCTTATTTTAGGAGAAATTATATGGTTAAACAAATATATACTAGTTAATTGGTTATCATAGCTATAGTTTTAGTTAATTACCACTAGCAACCAACATTCAGTGATAATTACGTAGGCAGGGGTTTCGAGTTTGTATAATTCAGAATTTTTAAAATATAATTTGTATAACTTTTGTATAATGTAATTTTGTATAATATAATTTGTATATTGTTTAATTTTCAAATGTTTGTGTTTGATAGTTAGAGATGCCGCAAGCAAAGATCATATAGCCTAATTGACTGCAAGTTGAATAAGCTATGACCCTCTTTAGATCATTCTGTAATATTCCAGTGGTTGCCGCAAGGAATGACGTTAACGGTCTAGTTGAGTTCAGTGATTCGAAGGAGTAAAGAGTCTTAGTCAAGGGGTAGTATGTTAGAAAGTTCAGAGTATAGATGGAATGCTTGCTATCAGTGCATTAGATGTCCTAGTTGTCCAGTACCAACCCGCTTTGGAGGTTCAATGTGATTCATTATTTTGAGTTTATACAAAAATAGCTCAATTATACAAATGTACTCGCGAATTATACAAACGAGACAACTTAAACTGTAACTACAACCCGTAAATATACAAACTATAGTTATGGAGCATAATGAAGTTTATTATAGTGGCTATTTGCGAAAATTTCTCTTCATTTTATTGAATTCAAGTCCAAGGTCTATTTCACCTTGAAGCCCAAACCCATGCCACGTGACGTGTCACAATAACTAGGCATCCAAGACCAATCAGGTGATGTCATGTATACAAATGAAGTGGAAGTCCCAACCAAATTTAAGAACCAATCACAATCCGTCAAGTATCAAAATGACATTCTTTGGCCAACTATAAGCATCCCCGTCTACCCCCCTATTACTATAAAAGATGGGATGGACATGACATTCTAAGGAATTATAAGAAAACTCTTCAACAAGCATTCTGCAAGAATTGAAGAAAGTTGCAACATAAACTACATAGTTCTTCAAAGGAATGATCAATGGAGTTCTTCCCGGAGATGGATTTGAAACGACAAAGTGTTTTCTGACGTTTTCGGAGATCAAATACATCTCAAGGAGGTTTATATCATCCTATATTAAAGAAATACGCTATTGAAGACCCTCAAATCACAAAGAAGTTTAGGAAAGAAGAATCAAGATAACAATGAAACTGTACGCACAAGATTCATTAATAAAAATAACATTTTTCTTTTATTTACTTTGACTGCAGTTAATTATCAATGCTACGAAAATTTAGTGCAAACAATAATATAAGAGATTAAGAAAGAGCATGACATAAAATTTTACCAACATTTTTCTTGTTTTTGTTAGCAACAAATTAAAAAGACAACAATTGGAGTCGTCGCTTTAGGTTCCAATAATTAAGGGACCAAAGTTATTAACTTTCTTCGTTTCGGTTTATGAATTTATAGTATAAAATATGTTATAAAAAATTATTTTTGAAGTTATATTGTTATTGAATATATAAAAAAGGTCATTTGTTACAAACAAGAAGAAAAAAAATATCATATAAATTAAAATATGATTATTATCAATAAAATATTTCAAAAACCAACCTTCTTTTGGCTTGTGGTCGTTCAAATAAGTGAGTACACTACAATGAACTCTATTTTAATTAATTAATACTTCTGTTATTTTTTTTTAAACGGACCTAGTTTAATTTGATATGAAATTTAAGAAGACAATTTATTTTTTTTAAATCTTGTGATTCTATATTAAAATTATATTATTAAATGTATAAAAAATTCTTTTAATTTTGTGATCTTAAATATGTAAGATGAAAAATTGAAATTAAATTGTTATATAAAAAAAATACTAGTTTTAGATATTATCGAACATGAAAATATAAATAGTAGTAGAAGAATAGTTAAACTAATATGGTGCAGTCTGCGGGAAGTAGTTAGGCACAGATATCGTACAGCAGAAAAAGCCGCGGTAATATCAACCAATCATAATTCGCCACGTTAGAAATGAGAACGAGAATATCGGGTGTGACGCCATCTACATTATACAGTATACTCAGTAATTCTCTCTTCTGAATACATACTGAAAATCAGAATATTCCTCTAACTTTTCCTTTCCAATTTTTGTCATACAAAAAACGTGAATACTTGAGAACATCTCTCATAGTTGGTGCGTGTTTTTGGTGTACGGAACAAAAATGGCATC